GTTTATTTTAATGAATATAATTTGTAGCAAGCAAATGGATACACCACATTCTTTCAAATGTTGCCTGTGCTATTATTAATATTGTTAACTATGATGAGCAGTTTCTTTATATCAGATCCTGCATATAGCTTGCATTCTAACGCGTAAGTGTATTTATAACATTATGACAAATATTTATGGCAAATAATGACAAATAAATTAGTTTTATTTAATAACATTATGGGATGTTTCAATTTTATTATTTATTCTTTACTTTCTCAACTCTTATCTTTGATGTATTTTATATTTTGAACGATAGCGATTGATTTGTATGAAAGCGATTATATGCACATTTTAAATTTGTGCGCAGAAAATATTCTGTACTGAGAACAACTCGAGGATTAAAGGTGCCCTATTATGTCAAAGAAAACTTTCATACTGAATATCAAGGCAGTTTACAAAGACTAGAAATTTCAGTTGAAGAAGAGTACCTGATTAAGTTGAGACATGACTGTTTTAGGGAGAAAAATTATAGTAAGTATTTTGTTCGGTATAGCAGACGACTTGTTGTCCCTAGAAATTGTAAAGAAAGGATAGAAATAATAATAAAAATAATAAAAAGGGAGATCTAACTTAATAATCAAGCAGTATACCTTTACATTTTGACTGTATTGTTTCTGTAATCTTTAGAGGAAACACTGATGTGGAAAGCAAGAAATTTTGGAGATCAAGATTTATTTACCAAAGCTAAAAATGTCGAAACACCCTCATGTAAGAAGGTAGAAGCAATGCGAGGAGCATAGCGGCGCCATGCTACTGAATAGAATTTTGTTGTAGATAGATGTATATTGTATTTACACGTGTGTAGTTACTACTGGATAAAATGAAGAATATCAAACATAATATATGTGTGAATATATTATATATTTTCGCATCAAAATTTGTAAATGATATTCTTCTTGGTCCATCATGAATTTTTATATAGGCCATTTAAGCTGTTTGTTCCATACTTAAATTGTAAATGAGTACAGAATTGATTGTAGTAGCATATATGACGAATTCCAGTATATAATATAAATCTGTCATATTTAATTTAATTAGACTAATATTTTGAATTGATTAAACCGAATGGCGTAACTTTGCAAGAACTGTATGCAGATTAATTTATGTGCATTTTTACGTTAGAATTATTTATATTCTATTACTATGACACAAAAAAAGAAAAAGAAAAAAAAGAGCTAAGTGGCATGGTGGCAAATATTAATTTTAAAGATTTTAAAGTATTTCCCATGATTTATAAATATGAACAGAATTTATTTGTTGAACGTTTACTTTAAATCTTGCTGTACTGCTTATTCGATATAACAATAGAACATTAAATTGAAACTTATTCGTCGTTGGTATGTAATGATTTCGACGATTTTAATATGCTGATAAATATACTGTTGTAACATTAAATTTGCTTGTACGTGAAAGAGATCTACGTAACAAAGATTTAGAGAACTCGTTAAATTATATGAAAGTAAGAGAATATATGTTATACAATGTATGCTAAGATAATGAACGTTAGAAAGAAATGAAATTATTGCATGAATTTTTTTTGAACAATAGAAAAGGAGAAAAAATGAAAATTAATTTCAATATTCAAAAAATATATCTATTTGTAAGGCCTAAGTTTTATTCGTAGTAACATCGAAATTGGCGCGAACTTTTTTTTTATAAAAAGGCAATCTATTTCACAGTATTAAGTAATATTGAAGATTATTATAATATATAGAATTATTGATGTTAAAAATTTTATGGATGCAATATTAAACTAGGTATATTCTGTTATTATGAAAATGCATGATACATTGCCAGCAACCAAAGAACTTAGTAGTTGTGACGCATACATATACATATAATATTTTTTACGTATAAAATTAATGTAATTCAAAGTAAAAAAAAGTAAAGCATACATTATGCATGAAGTTATTGTCACTTATAACAGTCATAGCAGGTGATTTCAATTGAGCTACTCTCATGTTATCATATACGTCATCACGTCGTAAATTTTTATATAAACATAAAGTTAAAGAAATAGTAATTTCTAACAAGCTGACTATGTGGTCACATATGTCTGTTGTTATTTATAAATTGTAATGTATACGGTTAACACAAGATAGATGACCAATATACTCATCTTGAAAGAAAAGTTCTCTTGTGTGACATTGAAGTTTCGAAATATTAATTGTTTGTAAATGATCCCAGAACGACTAACTTTCCGAAATTGTAGATTTCGAAGTGTTTATGCGAGCCAGTTCATCGAACTGCACATATCAAATTTGTTTTACGATTTAGCCAGCTCTTATATGTTTAATAGCACTTATTTCTCTGAATCATTACCTGTATGTTATATATGTCAAAGTATTTTAATTAGCTTCAAAATAAAGGTACTTCGAAAATATCATAATCATTACATTACATACAACAAAATACCAAAATCATTTACATTAATCTCCATTTGGAAATATTCGTTTTTTCATATTATGAGGCAATTGTTGAAGTTTAAACAATATTCTTATAAAAATTATTTACTAATAGTTACAAGCAGTTACTATAAAGAAATTAAATTTGAACTATGCTAGAAAGCATACCTTATAATATGTAATTATGATTTACGTATAACAATTTTATATAATTTATAAAAATCGTAATTTTTTAGTCATACCTGATTTTAATTTCACGTCTATAGATATCGCAATATTAATATTGTAAGTAACTCGGGAATAGTAATGAAACTCGAAAATCTCTAAATCACATAATGTAAATGTATTGAAATCTGCGTTTGTCTTTTTATCAACTTATTTACTGATTTATCGATTATATGTATCATTGATTGATATCACGAGTGAATGTTTTTATCAACTATATTTCAAAATTGTGTTTCATAAAGAATATGAGTTTTAAAAGTAATTATAGACTTTATTTTAATATTACTTTTACTTAAAGACATAATGTCTTTAAATTAAAAATTGTTGAATTATTACATAAACTATAAGATTGTTCCCGTTGCACGGATGTAAGATTACTTTTGTTAGATCCTCAAATTAGGTTGTCCGTGTCGAATTTCACCGATTCAAAATCACCTACTTCCGATTTTATAATTCCAAAATCATCTGCCTCACGTTTCGCTATAAATAATTACGTTAGGTAGAAGTAGAAAATGATAAAAACTACAGGTGAAAAATCTACGTTCGTTAATCAACTTATCTTATACAACATCTTATTCCACTTTCAATGAAACCGTATTACGAATTTCCTTATTACCAATCATAATGCAATGGTAATAGAATTTCATAAACTCTTCTACAAGAAATCCCGTTATAGGAAACATCTGTTACAAACAAGAATCACATCGACCTTTACACTGTAAGTGATGAGTGATGACCGGTAAATACGTTCCAAGGCCTGTCAGATGAAAAGTCGGTTTCAGGGTGTCCGATACCGTATGCACGGGATCGCGATAGCTCGGTTAGTCGCCAGGTAAAATTCCTGTTGAATGCCAGGTGAAATGTCAGTCGATGCACCCACGTGATTTGCGGCGAGTTGGTTGGCCGTCTGTCGGTCGGCTCACCATATTAAAAAGCTGTCGCGCCACTCTCGTGCCAACTCGCGCCGATTAAACCACGGACGCGCAATATTTGACAGTGGAAACATTTGTCGTTTGAATATAGATACTTAATAACATAGTAAGTGGCGCTCATTATTGGAAATCATCTTGTTCGTTTCGAGGTTTAGGTACAATACTTTGGGCAGCCATTGCTTCTTATTTTTCGTGATAACGATTAATCGATATTTTCCCCTTTGCGTTCATTCATTCGTAACGTGTGTTTGCTTTCTAATTCTGGGACAACGTTTTGTATCTTGTCCTCCATCTTATTTTCTCGAAATGGGTATCTTTGAAGGAAATTTTGAGGTGTCATGGGACATCTTTAGAAATTTGATTATCTATTGATTAAAATGGGTATTAGTTTAGAAGTCGCAGTTGCTTCGAGTGAAAAGTATGTTTGTGTGTTTTCCAAATCAGAGACCTTGAATAACCTCGACACAACAGGTTACTGGTTTATAACGTGGGATACAGTATTAAGTGAAAGACAACGTTAGAAAAGTGATGGTAGTGTCGGGTCTCATAGAATGTCATCGTTCACGAAAAACACAACCTATATACCGATTCCTCTGAAACTTATCTGTATTTTCATGTAATCAACAATCTTAAATTAACAACCTCGTGTAAGTAACAAATTGTAACCTTCAAATAACATTATTATTTATATAAAGCAAAAATTGGAACTAGAAATAAAAATTCCTTAGATTCAAGTAGAAGTTCAAATTTCTACGATCGGATAAATCTCTGCCGTGAAAGGCAGGAAAGCATGCGGCACAAATTGGATTTTTAGTACGCCACTTCTCAGGGCCCGCTGTACATAGAATTTCCGTGTGACCATTTCTCTTAAATTAAGGATGCGTGCTAAGTCTTTGGCCGTCAGTTGAATCCTCGCGCGACCTTTAAAGCGTGTATTACCATTTCTTGCAGCATTTGCTCTGTAGTGAGACATGGAGACGACGGACGAGTGGTTCTGCGACCAAGAGATCCTCGGCTACGATGAAGCCTGCGTCAATCTGCGCACGGACGACGAGAATTTGAATGCTTGGCTCTACCTGCTCTCGGCTGATTGCGCGCTGGTGAGTCACGCAAGGATATGTTCTTTTCATGTACAGTACCGTTTCCCACGAATCTTCCAAGAATTTTGATGTCTCTTATAATCATCATGGAAATTTCGGCACACGTTGAAAATAAACATCTTATTTTTTTCGCATATTTCGATTCTCGATTTTAGGGAAAATCGTAATATTACGAATAAAATGTGTCATTGGCGTGGTGTTTAAATTGTAGAAGATGTATTAATCTGCGTGTCTGAAAAAATTCTAAACGGCTTCTTAAGCATCTGCGCATCACGATTGTACAGTATAGTTTTACAAGAAAATTTATTTTCAAATTAAATTTAATATTGTATTAAATTTTTATTTATTTATCGCACCAATTTGATTATTATCGCCAAAACTGTGTATAGTGTATATAGTACATTGTACTTTAGTCGATAGTGTATATAATATTTATTATGTATCAGGTATGATAATATTAATTAATATTCCTCGCGGAGATTTCTGACAAAATTTAGCCACGTTAAATTGAATAATTTTTTTGCAGTGTCCATATACGAGGATCAAGCAGATCGTAGCAAATTGGAATTCCAGTGTGACGATCGATACTGTCAGATCTACGACCTTTAGGATCTTGGACGCCGAGTATCCCAGCGATTTCATATCCGCTAAAAATACCAGGTACATTAAATCGTAAAGGTAACGGCATTCAGATATATACGATTTACATATCTTTCGCATTTCAGCAACGTGATCTGCGAGCTGACACCGAATCTTGGCCAATTCGGTGTTTATGAGCTTTCCATACAAAATCGAAGTTGCAATATAAAAGTTTTGAACGGGCCAACTTACCCTTACACAGGCAAGATTATATTTAGTTATACGAAATTTTTAACTAGTCTTTAAATTTAATGCATCAATCAAATTTGTCGCGAAAAGTAAATAATATTCACAAATATTTGCTAGATATAGATAACAATTGTCTGAAGTCGAAAATAATTAATTGACATCAATAATAATGTTCAAAATAATCTCGAGCTTGATTGCAAAATAGATAGCATTTGATGTTTGTAAAAGATTATATATTAAAAAGTCACGTTCAACGTTGAGTGTAAACTGTATTTTTTCCAGAGCTGTTCGTCATTTTTGGAGTGTTGATACTCGTTCTGTTAGGTTTATCTGGCCTGAAATCGTTATGGCACGTATGCAGGAAGAAGTGCATGAAACACCAAATGAACGATGCCGTCACGAAGTATCCCTCAAAACGCAGAGTGAAGGCGATCGATACTGTTCGAGGGTAGATTGTTCAAACAAACACTTGTTATTTATTTATCGTATATAAATGTATTTCTTGAAATGTATACTAAAAGAAATTTTAATCTTGCAGGGCGAGTACATTGTTAATGATATTTATGAACGGTGGATCTGGTGGCTATAAAATTCTTGGCCATGCAACTTGGAATGGACTGCTACCAGGGGATTTGCAGTTCCCTTGTTTCATATGGATCACGGGAATATGTATCCCCATAGCAATGTCTAGTCAGATGAAGCGCATGACACCGAAATATACAATATTGTACGGAATCGTTAAGGTGACTAGCGATTTAATCAATAGTAAAGAATTCATATAATTATTTCTTTTTGAAATGCTGAAAAATTTTATATATATATATATCATATAATTGGAGCACCCCATGTATATATCAAATAATGCATAAATTTTTAACAAAGTTTCCAAAAAATAACTTCAGTTAATTTCTGTACTAATCACAGAGGAGTTTCCTTCTGTTTCTAATTGGAGTGTCTCTCAACACGGTGAGTACAGGACCTCAATTAGAAACTATCCGTATATTCGGAGTTCTCCAACGATTTAGTGTAGGTTACTTCGTTGTCGCCCTTTTGCACTTCATTTTGATGTCGAAGAAACCAAGCAAGGTACAGGTAAGTGTGTACATACAGGGTATTTCATGATATATAAAATTGCTTTCGAATTGAAAGATTCATTTAAAATTGTACTAAACAAATTTCTATTATGAAATACCCTGTATATATCTTTCGATGAAGATCAACTGTAAAGGTTTTTATTTTTCATTCGTAGTCTCCGATGTTACGAGGAGTGCAAGACTTTCTTCTACTTCTTCCTCAGTGGTGCGCGATACTCGCAATCGTGGCCGCTCACAGTGTCATCACATTCTGCTTGAACGTACCCGGATGTCCCACGTATGTACGTATAGATCAATGAATGATATTAGTCCCTTTGCAAACGCATCAAAGCGATTACTCTTAGTGGATACCTTGGTCCTGGTGGTCTTCACGATAACGCGAAATATTTTGACTGCGTGGGAGGAGCAGCAGGCTACATAGACAGAATGATACTGAAAGAACCTCATTTGTATAATTCAGCCACGGTTTATAAATCTGGACCATTCGACCCTGAAGGAATCTTAGGTATACTGTATTCGATTATGTCATTTTAAAAATTCATTAGCAGAAATTCTGACTGAAATAATGCAGTTCACATTCAAATTAACGTTGTTGCAATTTTTCTCATGAACTCTGTCCAAATTTCATAAATTCAATGCCAGAAACGTCTTTCTTTTCATCTCTTCTAAATCGTTATTCATTATTGACACTACTTCGATCATTAAGGTTGCCTCACGACGATATTCCAAATTTTCCTTGGTTTACACGCTGGCGTAATCATGATGACTTACAAAGACTGGAAAGAACGTGTAATTAGGTGGTTGGCATGGGCTGCGATTTTTGGTTGTATAGGGTGTATCCTCCACTTCACTAACGTGATTCCCGTGAACAAAAAGTTATGGTACGTCTCCAAAAATGGATACCATCGTAGTAATTGCATCATGTAAAAAAATGGTATATATATGCATACAGGTCACTGTCATTCGTATTCGTGACTACATCTTTCTCTTTGGCCTTCCTCTCCGCTTGCTACTTGCTCGTGGACGTCGCCAAGGTCTGGAACGGTGGTCCTTTTCGTATCCCTGGTATGCTCGACTTTCACGTGATTATGCAACGCGACTGCTGAACAGGTTGCGCGTAAAATCGATTTAAGACCTGTTTGCACAGTTAATGCTACTGGAAAAACTTTGTAATCGTAATTTACTTAAATTTTACCGTTTTCAACATGCCTTTTTATACGGTTCACGGCCTGTTAGTTTGGCAGGTACAGTGACTGGCATATTTGAGATAAGAATATTGTGACTGAATTTTATTTAAAACGTAACATTGCTATAAAATCGGAACTGGTTTTAGATATTTACTCTTTATTTACAATTTAATACGGTATGAAATCGTCGAAAAAATATCACCAAGAGAGATGTGTTGTGTGCAACAGGTTCGTGTTTCCAAAGTTCTGTAGAACAATTCTGAGAATGATTATATCTCTCTGTTTATTTGTAGGAATGAACGGTTTATTGTTGTACGTTGGCCACATACTGTGTTACCAAAATTTTCCATCCCATTGGAGCATCGGAAGTATGGACAGTCGTGCGTTGCGTTTATTCGAGGACATTTGGGGCGTCGGTTTATGGACTATCGTCGCCTACGTCATGCACAAAAAACGCATTTACATCACCCTTTGATAATCCATTTTTCACATGTAACGGAGTGACTATTGTAAACTATACCTTAAAGAAAGGGTCTAAAGGTTACTATTTTTCCATCTTTCGTTTATTTAGTTTTACATCTAAGATTATTCTTAGTGGCTTTTTTATTTAGTTTTACTTCGATGAATAATGATGATCGGAGGTTGTTACGAACGGTAATAAAGATAAAGAAGGATAGACTAATTCGAAATGAAGATTAATGTAAACTTTACAAATAATTTATTTTACACAACTTACATAAATATAGCACAATGACAGATCGAGGTAACGTGACGGTATCGATAAAAATACACTTCGCGTGGATCCCTTTCCTCTCGAACGAGAATGGGAACAGGGAATCACCACAAGCAGATATCGACTCTTTTCTTGCAATTTAGAAGTCGAAAATCGGTTGCATGATTCGATAGTGAATATCGTTAGCCGTCGATCGTTCGAACGATCGATAATTTACTCCCTAAGGATCTTCATCCCCTAGCAATGTGCACACACTGTGAGATTAGGAGGGAGGAAGAAGAAGGAATAAAATAAAGAAAATGGCGGAAGGGACAAGACGAAACCTATACGGGCAACAAATACGATGGGGTGACGTGAAAAGTTCTTAGGAAAAAGTCCTGCGGCATCGTTGGTCGTCGTGTTAAACGAACCGCTACGAATCATCGTAAACAAAATAAAAAGTAAAAAAAAAAAAAAGAAGAAAAGAAAACACACTAGCAATGCCATGTTTGTGAAGGAGGCACCCGTCCTTGCTCAGTAATCCGTTGCATCTGGACCTAAAAATCGAGAGAAACGATATTATTAACACTCCATAATTATTCTACGCATTGATGACAACAAAAAATAAAAAATAAAAAAAATAAAAAAGAAAATGCTGCCCCTACTAATAGTAAATCGAATAATGGCGAGCAAGTCAAAACGGTGAACACTGTCGCGCTATGATTTTTCTATAGAATAATTATTCTTTATGCAGAAAGGATTCAGCGCTGTTGACTTCTATGAAATAATTTCTTCTGGTCTATAGTTCGTTCAAAATTTATTGGCTACTCGAGGTCACTGAAAGACAGTCCCCTACCTTTCCTCTGTTCAACGCTAGCGACACTAGGGAGGGGGAAGCGGCCTTGAGCCACCAGTTAAGTTTGAACAGACTATAACAGTGATAGTTACAACAGTAGCGAAACGTAGATTGCACGAGCAATAACTCTATATGTAATATCAAGCTAATCAAAGCAATGGACTATGTTAACGTACAGTTTATCTAAAGCGTGGATTATTTCGGTAAATAGCCATTACCGATCAACCGATTATCGATCATCGAGGTTTTAAACGAATTCATAACTCGTTCTAGCCGATTTGACAAATCCAAACAATCGTCACGATTCGATCAATCGCGAGTGAAACACCGAGCTGCTAATTGATGGCATAAATGAAACAGCAGTGCAAACGCATTGTGCATGCATGCATTATTCACATCGCAAGGTTACGATCGATTACACAGTCGAGCATGCACGACATCATTTTTTAACTCATAACATATACGGTCCTGGAACAAATCACGAAATAATCCTATTTAAAACGATCCTGTAACTATCAAGAATCGATCGAGAAAAGTTACACTATTCTCGTTTCGGGTATCGCTCGAACTTTTGGACTCTGAAATGAAACATGAAATAAACATGATAAAACGTGTACACGGGTTTGTAAATTGTTTATAAGGAACAATACTGCGAGAAGATCGCTGTGAACAATGATTTCTCGCCGGTCTGATTCGTTATCGATCGATGATGCTATCGGCTTCAGAAAACGAAGAAGATGGAGCGCTGTAATTTGTCTATTCGCGAAATCGTTCTCGACAGGGCAAAGGAAAAACAATAAAAATGAAAACAAGACAAAACATACGAAGCGTGAACATCGACTCAAGAGGGAACACAAACTGGAATCGCATCGTTTCGCTGGTTAGTGACAAATCTCAGCAAAGAGCAAACAAAAAGAAAAATAAAAGGAAAACAAAACTCCGGGTCACGGCTGACAGGATTGATCCGTTCGCGGAGTGAAGATAAATTTAAGAGAGAAAGAATGAATAAAAAAAATAAAGAACGATAAATAAAAACGATCATCCGTGTACAGGATCGATGCTCGTTCGAGAGCAACGCAAACGAAAGATGCGAGTAAAGTAGAAAATATAGAAGAGACAGAGACAATAACAAAAGAGAAAAAATAGAAAAAAAAACACTAGAACGATAGAAGAGAACGAGAACAAAAAAATAAAAAAAATAAATAAATAAACAAAATGTACAAAAAAAAAAATCAGGAAGAAAATGCGAATAGATGAATATATGGAAACGATATGTACCGATAGAAAAAAAAACCACGTAGCCTGTAGCCCCCCGGGCATAGTCAGCCCAGTCTTGCGAATCTAGAGAAAAGTTGCGCGAGGCTCGTCCGTGGACCGGTTGCTCGCGGCCAAACGCGGCCTCATTCTGCCCCGGGCCATCAGCAATGGTCGCTTTTTAGGTTAACTTGGATGGACGAGGGATTCGGCGAGGAAGATACCACGGAATCGGTCTGTTTGTTCGTTCGCAACGTCTGTGGCACGCTTTTAGTACTTTTAATCCGTGGACAGAGCACGTTCACCTTGTACGACCATAGGGGCCTTCTACTTTCGAGGACCTTGAAGGCCAACGATGGCACCACATCGTGATCCAATACAGATGTTGGAGAGTTTGGCGTTTTCCATGCTTGATAGTACGGATCCTCCTTACAGGATATTCGATCTTGTCGAGTTAGGGGGTGGCTTTGACGGTACGCGTCGCCATTTTGATCCGGTACCCTCGAGTTCTCCGCATCGTGCAGTCTTCTCCATGATTGTTCACAGATGGGTGAATATTCCGGAGAAGTTACGCCACTGGAGTAATTGGAACAGTAATTTTCGTCGTAGTTGAACGCGTTGTTCTTGAGAGGCAGACTGAGATACTCTCTCGTTGAAGATTCATCGATTTTCTCTGCCCCTTCTGGAAGGATCGAGTCGTCGTTCAGAAGTCTGAACAACCTCGAGTGTGTTTGGGTTCTCTGATATTTCCTCATGTTCTTGGACGAGGTGCACTCGGAATCTGTGTCCACTTCGGAGATCATGCGACTCATGTCGGAAGTGACGCCACTGTCCTCGTCATCGGTCTCTTCCCGGGAATTCTGCACGCTCAACAGGTGCTTCGACTCCTTTCCTGTTTTCTCTTCGACATCTTCTTCGTTTCTACTTTTCTTCGAAGTGTCGATATTCTCCTGCGACGTACCGTCTCGTTCTATTTTCGAATCCGTGTTTGCGAACTTGTCAGAAGGTTCATTGTTCGATTCATCTGCCCAGTTGTACTCCGAGACGATCACTTCCGGCTTCAGGATGTTCCTATTGAAATCGTGCATTTCTGAACCGGTTTCCTTCACCGTTGCAATGTAAGTGAAATTACCTTCTTTGTTCGAGGACTCTCTGCTCGCTGAATCATCGTTATTTTTCACATTCGTTTCAATCACGCGTTCTTCCTGGTCTTTGCTCGTCCTGTCTTCCTCCTTCTTCATACTCGTCTTCCTCCTAATCGTGAACTCAGTTTCCACCGTCTCCTCGCAGTTGATTTTACTGAATCTGGTTGGTATTTTTCTCAGAGTGAAGTTCACATGAGGCACCACAGGGTCTTCGTTTTCTTTTATCTTATTTTCCACTGGTTCTGTCTTCGTCTTTTCGTTAGAATGATCCTTCCCCTTTCGTCTGCCATTAGAACCTTCTTTCTTAACTATAAAATCGACGCTAGTATCATTCTTCACAAGGAAGTTCGCCGAAACGTCATTAGACTTTCCCAAATGGGTTTTGTTTTCTTGAATCTTCAGCTTTCGACTCTCTTCCTTGTTGTAACCCCTGTCAGGCTTGATCGTACTGTCTCCTACGATTACGGTGGTCACATCCTCGTTGTTCTCAGATACGGAAAATTTGAACCTCAATGGCAGACTCACGCTGACTGTCGGGGCGTCAGAATCGTCGGGGGGATCGTCGGTAGCTTCGAAAGGTGTCTCGTTCCAATCTTTAAGGCTTCTAAACTGTGGTGGTCTGGGACTCTCAGAGTCTGGACGTTCGACGTCCTCGTAGATCACGCTCAACTGATGAGGAAACGTGTTGGTGTCTGACTTTTCAACCTCTTTATCCATCTGTTCCTCTGGTTCAGAATCGGTGCTGTTCTTGGGAGACCCTGACCCTTGTCCCTCGTTACAGGAGTCCTTACTCGAAGAGTCTCTAGTTGAATCCCTTTCGTTATTCTTCTCCAGTCTGCCATGAGGATTCAGGCCTGTAGAATAAGCTAAATAGGAGTCAGAGTCGTCGCTATCGGAAGAAGAGTCATCGGAATTGCTATCGCTGCTGCTCTTTGACGATTCTAGCATAGACTCGTTGTCAGATTCAGAATCAGTGGAATCGCTGGAGTCACTGGTGTCGATGTAGGTGTAGTTTGGAACAGTCACATTGAGGCTTCCATTGGAACATGGTTTCGTCTCTGGTCTCTCTGACTCCTGGTCGTCTTCGCCTTCCTCTAGTTCAATTATTTCAACTATTTCATCAGGAATCTCCTCCTCGTCGGTGATATTCATCGCGGTGGTACAGTCGCTATCTTTGCTATTGTTACTCGCAGTTCGTGACATGCTATTCGCTTTCTCCCACTGTGGCAGACCGTTCGAGTCCTCGTTCTCCATTGGAACTTTATTCCCGTTATTCTCTTGAATATTATCTGGCATATCTGGAATATTCGTCGTTGGATGAATTTTTGGTATTACTACCCCGCAATTGACTTGTTCACAATTGTGATTACAGCTAGTACTACTGTGTGGAGGAATAGGAAGAATGTAAGGTGAATAAACACCTGGATACGCGCTTTTACCACTTACTGGATCATACTGAGGGTAAGGTGGGTAACCCTGATTGTAGATGGGGAAGTATACGTAGGCAGTGTTATCTGGATGATAGGGGTAAGAGTCGTTCGCGACACCAGGATATGGAAGAGGGTAGTAGCCCCACCAACCACTGTCGGGGGTCCAAAATGGCGGTGGACAGGGAGAAAGGAAGACACCCTGCTGATTGCCCGGCACGTTATTCTCTGTTTGGCAGTGGTAATCTGCTTGACGATTTTCTTGCGTGGCTACAACAAACAGCACAATGCATTCAGACAAGAAGTTCAACTGTTCCCATTGGGGTGTGGTGTGGTCTTGCGTTTCTTCCATTTCTTTTTGGCTTTTCTCATTTTTTATCTTTTTCTTTCCCACGCACCTTGTTTCTGTTTCTCTTAGGTACTCTGCACGCGAATATCTTTTTACATTAGGCGATGGAGGAACGGGCAATAGACATTTACTTCGAGCACCAATTTTAAATATTACAGACTCTGTAGAATTTTTACGTTAATCGAGATACGAATTGCGCTTTGACAATTGAAACTGATTTGTATTTGTTAAACGTTATGGGCAGAGCGGAAAGATACAAGATTAGATAAGAGTTGCAGTTCTTGGTAAAACGTCCGTGTACTTGTGCGCACACAAGTCGCTTCTTTGTGGAGTAATTATTAAGAAAGACGAGAATGTTTTGAACCAATCCCGGCGCGATAACTGAGGAATGCGAGTTCTGTTTAAAGTAGTTTAGTGACACTTGTACCATTATTTGCGAAAATATGTTTCACTATCAGGAAGATATCGAGGCTCTTTGTTGTTGAATACGTATATTTAAATTTCGCCAAACGAAATAAATGTCTAACGCGAACGATCCTCCGTTGGCTTTGAAAAATCGACGGACAAGCGAGGTGCCACGAGATTGGAGCGATTTTTTACGGCAAGGATAAGCGACGAGTGTAGTCACGAACGGCTACGAAAAAAGAGAGAGAAAGAGAGAGAGAAAAAAACGAGACGTGTGATCCTGTGTTCAAAGGAAACGATCGAAAATTGTCGTGAACGCAAAACCAGCTCGTCGATGATCTTCGACGGGACTCAAGCGACCATTACGTTCGAATAGGAAGACATGCTCGTACGATATTCTGGACATATGAATCGTCAGAGTCCAAAATATTCGTAGTCCGGTTACATGCAAATGATCACTTGTAGTTGTATTAAATCCCAGCGAGAATTAAACACGTGTGAAATCGATTAATAGAACATGCAACATTCCCGGTTAAGTTACCCAAGTCCATATCGTAGCTTGCCATACTTTCCGTGTATTAATTTTCAGAGTGGAGAGACTATATTAACGTAGATAGATCGGCTTGTTCGTTACGACGATAATCGGGCGACTTTTATAAGGAACAGTTACTACTACGATACTACTCGAAGTAGACGAATAATTCACCTACCATGCACAGTTTTCGTTACGTTTCGAAACTACTCGTATTTAAAGACCATCTCAACAGAAATCACAACTTTCATTCGACGAAATATATTTATCGTTGCTCGATGATCGGTGCATCAATCGTTAAATACATAGGAACGTCCAGAATGGGCATCGTGACAATTTGATAATGTACTTTTTCTCTTGCAATGATTCTTGGGAAGAATTAATATCAACGATATGTAATGGGAGGACAGGGCTTAATCGAGCTGAATAATACCAAGGAATTTTCGTTATTCCTGTGAACACAGGATTCGGGAATGTTCCAGCGACGGCACGCAATCGTTACTTCAAGTTTTAATCATCCATTAGAAATGTAAAGACGCTTGTCACTGAACATTAATGTACAAAGGTCAATAGAAGCTTGTTGCGATTAATTCATCATGAACGAGTAGCGTGTTCCTGCATGAATTATGAACGTGTTGTACGCGTTTCCTTTCTTCTTTTTGTCTTTTTCTTTTGGTTTAGAGAAAGATATTAAAGATTTTTATGCTCGGTGATTTTGATGAAGATTTGCCGATCGACACTCACCGACGCTCTCCGGCGCTGTCATCGCTTGTAATATCCTGAACGATCTGGAAGGAATCGCGCTGCCCATGTACTTCTTTGGCTCTGGAACCTGCTGCTCGCTCGGTGGTAGGTTTGCCTGCATTTCTTCTGCAAACATTACGTTTACCGTGAGAAATTCATTATTCAAAATCAGCCAGGACTCGGAAAACGATGACTGGTTTAATTACCAAAAGTCTTTGAATTCCTGTTCTGTTTCTTGTTTATGGCGGATGGTGGTCGTGGCGCTGTAACATACGATTTTAGTGCGTTTTATCTTACTATTCAAAGTGATTTATTATTATCTAGTGTTTTTGCTATTGGGAGTATGTTAACTATTTAGAATTTACATTTGTGTAATCAAAATACAAGACTTACTCGTGTTGACGGGAACATCACCAGCATCCGTCATAGTTTGAAGGTAACGGAAAGCTCGAGATGGTATGGCTCCACCACGGTATCTCGGATCTTCCTCGTGATGAAGGGAACAATCATTGTCGACTGTAAAAATAAAGAGAGAAAATAAGAAAGAAGGTAATTATCGAATAATCGAATAAAGTTTGTAGAGTACCTTGTTCTTTGAATTTATTCATCAAAATTCTGTCGTCTTCCGTCAATTGGAGTTTACGTAGCTGTTCGGTATCTACGTCGTTCGCTGTATCCGTGTCTGTGATTTTCTGGAGAACTCTAAACGATCGAGATTGAACTGGACCGGAATCCGACTGCTGAACTTGCACGGGTATGATACGTTGTGATACCCTAATGATCAGGTAACGATTGAATCAAACTTTATATCTGTGATCGATATACTTACATAATGTCTTTCAATATAAACTTACACTTTCACATTTTGATTTTCATTGGGCGCATTATTCCTAACAATTGGTTGGGAGTACGAAGTATTCGAAGTAGCTACTGCAGTAGGCTTCTTATCACTACCCTCGATCATGATAGGTATAATGAATGCACCACCCGTTGTTTGCTGAGGCTGTGGATGCGCCTGATTCTGGACTTGGATCTGGACTTGGTTCTGAACCTGGTTCTGGACCTGGTTGTGGACTTGATTCTGTGCAGATGGCTGCCCCCACCGCTGTTGATGATGCGGACTAGGTTGTTTGAATTGATGATGACCCGGCTCTGGTTTCACGTCGAACACAGACGGCCTATCCTCGATCTGAATACAAACGGTGAAGGTAAGTTACGGCAGTCAGCGAGATCGTAAAGATACTTCCTTCAAATAACACCTACATTGGATGATAATAAACACTTACGCGAATTGGTATCATACGTTCTTGGTGTTGCATTTGAGGATTAGCCTGTTGTGTCATGGAGGGACTAGAGAACGGACGTTTCTGTTGCTGATTGAACTGCTGAGGCTGTGATTGTTGGTACTGATATTGTTGAGGTTGTTGCTGAATTTGAGGAGATCTTTGTTGAGTTGGTTGCGGTGGCTGAGATTGTGGCCTCTGCTGAGCTGGTTGTTGTTTCTGCTGAGTTTGTTGCCGTTGCGGCGATGGCTGCTGCTGCTGCTGCGTTTGCTGAATTGAAGACGCGTAAATCGGTGGTGACGTCGGGCTATCAGGTGACGATGAGCTCTGCTTATTCACGCTTGAACGTTTCGCCCACTCGGGCAATTCCTCTTGTGGCTTGTTCTTATTCTGAAGCCACGGCGTTGGTGCTTTTGTCAGGGTCACCTGAGTCGGAGTGCTCGGAGTGCTAGGAGTGCTCGGACTCTCGGGGGTGTTCGGCTGAACCG